TTTTTTTTAGTTATAACTGGATTCCTGGGGGCTTTAATGGTTGCACAAGGGCTCAGACCACAACTCAGAAATGCACTTTAGGAAACAGGCCATCTGTTTCGGTGCATGGGGAAGCCTGCTGAGTTCTACCAAGACATTTGACATCAGGCTACTAGAACTGTTTGTAGCGTGACCTATGTCTTTCAGGATGCCGAGAGAGAGAAATGCATTGTTTGGTTAAATTGTATAACTAATTTTGCTTTATGCCAAAGAGGGTAAACAGGTAGGAAATGAGAAAGTAACATACAAGGCTGTCAGTAATGACTTCTGTACACATAAACCAACCCAGTAAGTCATGGGATACTGAAGTAAAGAAATGATGATTCATTCGTTCCTTTACGATATTTATGGAATATCTACACTGTGCCAAGCATCATCCCAGGTATTTTGAATTCATCAGTGAAGCAACCAAACAAAAATCTTTGCCCATGTGGAGCTTACTTTCTACAGGGATGAGGAGGCATAGAACACAAACCATGAACATAATAGGTAAGTGTCATGGGTTAGAAGTTGATAAGCACTGTGGAAAAAATAATAAATATAGGAGTGCAATGCGGGTGTGAGTAGGGGAACACAGAGGCGACCTCTTTAAGCTACCTGATGTTCTTTAATTCCTTGGGAAAGCAAACGTTTTATTAAATGAACATCTGATTAGCACCGAATAGCATCATCACTTTGCCCCGTCATATGCTTTCAATTTAATTCTATTTCATTTCATTTATTTATGTCTTCATTTATTTAGTCCCAGCCACATGTAAGGCACCATTTTCAGGCCTTGGGGATGTAACGATGAAGAACACAAGTCCCTGTGCCCCTGTGAAGCTTATATTCTGGAAGGGGAGACAGAACATACAAGGAAACAAATAATGATGAAGAAAGATGCTACCAAGAAAAATAAAGCGGGCTTGGGATTAGGCGAGCAATGGGGTTGGGGTACAGGGAGACCCCTCTGAAGAGGTGACACCTCAGCAGACATCTGAGTGGAAGAAGGAAGTGAAACAAGCTTAGATTCAGGGGAAGAATGTTCTAGGTGGGAAGAACAGTTCTCGCCAATAGCCTGTATGTGGAATGAGTTTATTGCATTCTGGAAACAAGGCTATGTATGGGTGTGGTTAGAGCAGACCAAGCAATAAAGAGAAAGGAAGGAAGTCAAGGTCCTTTTGTACTTCTATATGATAAATAACTGCGAGCTTATAAACATTATGCACGTGGAAAATAAGATTTTTTTGTGAATTGCTACCTGGCATAAAAATCCTTGTCATCTTCTTCCTCCTTTGCATCCAGTGTGTTGGATAAATGCACAGACTTGGGTGATGGACTGACTTGCTTTTCCACATACCAGCTATGTAACCTCAGATAAGATTTTAAATCTCCTTTTATCTATTAATAAAAAAGGGGAAAGTAGCAGCATCCAGTACACAGAGCTGTTGCAAAGACCGAATGGACTAATACACAACATATGATTGGGACGGCATTTCCCCTACCGTCATTATTCTAGAGACCAGATGCCCAACATGAGCCACTTTTGAGCACTGGACTTGTGGCTCTCGTTAACGGAGAGGTACTGTAAGGATACGTACATCAGATCTCAAAGGTTAGTATGAAAAAGAACGTAAAGTATTTCGTTAATATTTGTTTATATTGGTTATACTGTTGAAATCACAGTTTAGATACATTAGGCTAAACAAAATACATTATTAAAATTAATTTTACCTGTTTCCTTTTACGTTCTACGGTGTGGCTACTAGAAAAGCTGAAAGGACGTGTGTGGTTAGCATATTTCTCTGGCTGCTGCTGTTGCAGGCGGTGGGCTGGACGCAACACACCCAACAGGGACAAGGCTTGATCCAAACACACAGGCGGCTCATAAGGAAGTTCTGATCTCAGGGAAAAGGACTAGTGAGTTGTGAGAGGTGGGGCAGAAAGGGCCACCCCGATCGTCCTTGACTCTGGGAACCATCTTGGTCCCCCGTGTATTCAGTGGCCCTCACGATACTGGCTGTGACTTATGACTTGCTGATTTGCACACTTGATAAAGTGGAAACCCCAAGGAGCTGTCCTGCCATTCCCAGGGAGACGAATCCTTGGTGCACGTAAATCCCACTCTGACCCGTCATTGTGGGATGAGGGTGATCGCATGGAACTCACTGGCATGACACACAGCTGTGACACAGAGAGACTATAACTCAAATGAGACAAGCTCAGACTAAGGGGATGGACAGACTGCTCCGACAGCACGAGAAGGGAATGTCTCCCCTCCACCCATGACGCAGGAATGACTTCACTAAGGACAGTGGAAAGAAACCCTTCGAAAGGCTCAGGCCTTGCAAATGATCCTTTCCCCTCCCAATCTCAACAAAAGCCACGGCTTCTTCTTTCAGATAGATCTGGGATCCCGGCCGCTCTACCTCTGCTGCTTCCGTTCCGTGCCGGCCTGGCATCTCTCAGAGCCGTGGCCTCACCCTGGCTTCGCTGCTTCTCCCCCTGCCCTCCATGGCCGCTCCCAACGCAGCAGTCAAATGGTTCTGCCCACGGGAGTCAGGCATGAGCTCCTCTGCTGAAAAGTTTCCAAAGTGTTCTCATCTCACACGCAAAAACCAAAGATGTTTCCACACCTACAGAGTCCTACGCCATCTCCCCACGTCCCCTCCCATCTTTACCCCAGGCCTTGCGTTTGTCATCACATCTGGGAATCTCCTCTCCCTCCAGCCACTCTGGCCTCCTTCCTCTTCTTGGCACCTGGCAGCAGGATCTCTGTGCCACAGTGCCACTTGCTGTCCCGCTGCCTGACCCCCTCCCTTCCCTCCTGCAGGTCTACTGACTGTCAGCATCTTCAGGAAACCGCCCCTGACCGCTCTCTCCCAGCACTGCATAATTCCTTTTCCTGCTATATTTTTTCTTCATAGCACTTAGCATCTCTGCTCTGTACCCAATTATCATTTTTTTTTTTTTTTTTTAATTTAGAGTTTGCCTTTCCTCACCAGAACAGAAGCTCCACGGGGCCAGGATGGTTATATGTTTTTTTTTTCCCCCCAGCACCATTCCTAATACCTACAATTGTGCCAAGAATAGAGTAAATCCTTACTAAGCATTTGTCAAATAAATTAATTTTT